AAGGTCTTTTCCAACCTAAACGACTCTATGATTCTGTGATTTTATGAGCTTGTAGCAAGGGATTTGGAAGTAGGGTAATCTCTAGGTGAAGATTTCTGTCTTGTTTACCGGTATAGAGAAGCCATAGTAGTAGCTGGCCATTGAAGTCCAAAAATCTGTTTTTCTGCATGTGTGCATACACACACACACACACACATATGTACGCACAGTGCTATCTAGTACTGTGCTAGTATAGCACTAGTGCTATTCAGAATCAATAAAGACTAAGTTAAAAGGTTGGACTTTTTTTAAAGCCAGTATTCTGAGACAGTATAATTTTTAAAAATAATTTTAGTTCTGGAGTAGGTCAGGCACCACGTGGGACAGCAGAAAAGGAGAAATTCCTGAAAATTGCCAGAGACACAATTTCAAGACTGTAGCCTGAATTGATTAAAATCGATCTGGAAGATTGAAGAGATGATAGATGAGGGCCTAGAATTGATCAGGAGAGAGCGAAGAACATTGATTTGGAAGAGCCATCCAGTTTCTCTGCTGGCCCTGAGAAGAGATCTGTACAAAGTTAATGCTTCTGTAGTATCTTAACTGAGATCATTAAGAAAACAAGCTTGGAATAGCAAAAATGTACTACGTTCGTTCTTGTGGGTTTATATTTTTATTTGATTGTCATATGCGTAATAATGTGCAACCATTTATCAATTCCCCCCCCCCCCCCGACTGGGATTTTCAGAATATTCCGTAGTAGCCTCCAGGGGATTCCTGTAACAGTTTAGTTACATTCTAGCTGTGTGAGTTACAAAACAGAACTCTTCTTTTCAGAGGTTGCACTAACTTGGGGCTCACCTCTGCCTGGTCACCTGTTTTGACATGTGAATTTGTTTTAGGACTATTTATCCCTCCTTGCTTATAAATCTGGCTGTACAGATTTCTGTAAATCAGTACATAGAGGAAGAGACAAATAACTGATTTTCTTCATGAGGCCCCAAAAAGCACTAAACCAACATTTTCCATATATAAACGTTTTAACATTAACGCTCAAGATCTCAGGAGTCTCCAGATAAAGCATGTCTGTATGCTTGAGACTCTGTTTTGCCAGTTTCTATTTTCTGGTTTTGAATGGTGATAAATGGACCTATTGCAGCGCCTGTGGCTAAAAATGGCCATCCTCAATTTCCGGCCAGCAGAATTGTTGTGCAGGAGAGCATTTCACTTGAATGAAGAACTAGTAAGTAATTTTTAAAAATAGCGGAGTATGAAATGGGAAGCTACTAGCAGATGTAGAGGCATTTGCTAATGGAGAGTGCCAATAAGACACTCGATGGTTCAGGAGAAATTCTGTTGCTACAAGGTGCTGAAGATTCTTTCATGAACATTAGCTCTCCATCCATAATGTGTGCATTTGTAGCACATGGAAGCAGTAGAAAGCTTTATTGTTACTGGTTTCTTACTCGTTGCTTTGCTGGATCGCAAGTGTAGTCAATGCAAGGGTTTGCGTAAAAGTTGTGTATTTGGTTAGATCTCTGGAAACCTTCAGTGAATTGAGAAAAAAGGTCTTCCTTCCCTGTTATGTATACATAATTCAAGGATAAAACATTGCTTGCTTTCTCAAGTAGCAGCCTTTATGAAACAAGCAGAACACCTACCTTCAGAACATGTCCATCTTTACCATGCCTTGTCACCTACATGACATAGAAATTAGTACAAAGTATCAAAAATATTAAGTTCAATTTCAGATAATACTATTTAATGGTGTAGCTTAACAGTCAGCCCCTCTAAGGGAATGCAGTGCTTATTGACGGTTCCTTCAGACAGGAGAAAGTTGAACCTTACATTCACAATATTTTCTATAAATAGAATTTTCAAATTATTCTTGGGCTTCTTTAAATTATTTTGTAGGATTTTTTTTCCTTCCCCTACCTAGTGTCTTTCCACTCCATCTTTTGATGACTCTTAAAGCAAGACCCTTTGTACAAAGTGAGTTTCACATGCTGAATATTCCAAAATTGAAGCTAGTAATAAATTTTTGCTATTATTTACTAGTTCAATTTTTTACATAAAGTTAGTGTAGATATGTTTGTACGTGTAGTTACATGTGTTTTTATCCAAACAGAATTCAAGCAGTATTTGAGTTTGTGTCTCTCCTTTCTCTGCAGAACCTGACCTAAAAAAGCGCATTCGTGTTCACTTACTTAATGCACATGGTCTTGATGAAGCTGGTATTGATGGTGGTGGAATTTTCAGAGAATTTCTGAATGAACTACTTAAATCGGGATTTAACCCTAACCAGGGATTTTTTAAGACCACCAATGAGGGACTTCTTTACCCTAACCCTGCTGCACAGATGCTCGTTGGAGACTCTTATGCCCGACATTACTACTTTCTTGGAAGAATGCTTGGAAAGGTAAAACCAGTGTTGTATAATATAAAGCTATAGCAATACAGAAATTATTCAGTAATTTTTTTTTCTTTTTAGATAGGGGTAGATGGGAAAAAGTGATGATTTTTCTAGAGCTGAGGAAAAACAACTTTCAGATGTTGCATCTGAACATTATTTCCACATATCACACAAATTTCTGGTTCATTTCAGTAAGTTACATACTTGAGAGGTACAGAGAGTCTGAGATACCCTGACTGCCAGTTGAGTAAAGTGTGCATGTGTCTGCTTCTGTGGTTATCCTCTTGCTTGAAGTTAAGTTGATTGAAGCCAATAGAACTACTCTGCTTATGGTGATTTTTAACCTGGAGCTTTCTGGAATTTGACTGCAGTTACATTTTCATCATTTGGAATATATGAAATTAGTATTTTCAGAAACAAACAGTTTCTAGTTGTATGAGGCATACAGTTCTTGCTAGCATTTAAAATTTGCTGTGAGCATGTACCATGCTTAAGACCTATATGCAAATTAACTTTCACTTATTCTGCTTGGTTTTTTGTACATTTTGCATCTTTCTTGTGTTTTAGTGCTTGATATTTTGGTGTTGTGAATGTTCAAAGACTAATACACACTTGTTAAGCTAGATGAAAAATTAAGGGGGGGGGGAAGAAAAAAAAAAAAACAGAAGGACAAAAGACAGAAACCACTACAAACATTCATTGCATTCAGTTTTCTTTTATGGTCAGGTTTAGTACTGAGCCTGTTTCCTTCTAAGCCCTTGAAATAACTTTTGTAAAGCTAATAATTGAGAAACAAAGTTTGGAATACAAATTCCATTTCAGAAAAAAAACGTATTGATTGCTGCTCAGCTATCTAAAACTGAAGGTATGTAAGATGTAAAAGTCCCATTTAACTGCCTGAATTATTTTGGAGGCTAAAATCCTGCTGACTTGCAGTGAGATTGAACATATAGTTGGATGTCCTTTTAGTGTAGCTGGAAGTGGTTTAAGAGGATGTTGTTGGCAAACTTGAGTTGTTGAAACAGAGTGCTGTTCTTTTAGAGTTGCCAGTCAACTGATTTAGATTAAACTTTCACTTTGTAGGCAAATTCTCTGCTAATGCATCCTAGCTATTGCAATATCCAAACTTGTTAAATAATGAAAATTTCAAATCAGCCATTTCAATAAAATAATCTTTGAAGGATGTTCCACTCTTAATGGGAGATGGATTCAGTGCTAATACAGTAGTTTGTAATTATGATCTATGTTACATATCCAAGGCTTCGTTTTCTTTCTGCATCTATAGATTTTTGGAGTGGGGAAGTGAATAATGCTGTCATATTGTGAGGAAGTTACTTCACTCCAAAAACGTTTAGTGTTTATCTAGGAGTGGGGCAGGGCTCAATTGCCAAGGGGAAGTTTGAAATGTTATTGCAAAAAAGAAAAAAAGTTTGTAATTTTGAATCTTGAATTTCTTCTATCAAAACAACACATTGCCTTCTGTAACTGGATCTCAAATACCTAGCATAAAGACAGAAGTTGCAAAATGTATTTTACTCCCCACAGAGTGCTACAAGTATAGTTTTGGTTTTGCCCTTTTAAAACCAGAGGACCTATTATTTAACATTTTGAAAGCATAAATTGTTTTTGTATTTGCAGTATGTTTACATAAGGTAAGAATTGACAGTGTTACTTAATAATTACCCCTACCCAGGTGCACAGACACCTTTTTAGTAGTGTATTTAGAGACTTGATGAATTAAACAGAGAGATAAGGCACGACCATACTATTCAAAACCTGCCAGTATTGTGATCTTGGTTAAGTTACTGAATAGTCACTCACCCATTTTCAAAAATGTGTCCATTTTATGCTTTGCACAGGGTTATTTGAGAGCAATAGTGGATTATTAAAAGCCCCTTTGTAAACAAAATAGATATAACGCAAAGGAAGCAATCAGGCATCCACAGCAATTTCTTATTTGTGGAAACCAGTATGTAAAGAGCGTTGCCACCAAAAACTCTCACGTAAGAAGTTTCAACGTTATCAGAAAACAAATACATTAAAATATAATAATTTATAGAAATTCTCTGTCTCTTGGTAACCACTTCATACTAATATGCAAATGCATTTAACTTTCAGTACCATAGATTTACACCTAATTCAGTTTTTCTTCTCATCAGGAAGTTTCTAACAGCTTGACATCTTCTGTGTTAATTGGTCAGTTCAGAAGTAGAAACATCTGAAAACTTAAAACCTTTAAAAATTGCGTATCTAAAAACTTTAAATACTTTAAGCCTAGATAAATTATTGACTATTTGGGGTGTATTTTTGTAGTTAGTGAAGAAATTGAAATCTATATACTATGCAAACGGCATGGCTGTCTGTGCAACTTTTACTGATCACTGAATGAGCAAAAGGTCTTGTAGAAATAATACCAGGTGATCATGTAATTGCATATGTTGTCTGAAATGATTCTTAAAAAAAGGCAGAAATTAGTTTGCTTAAACAACAGCTACTCAAACACTTCCAAAGTTTACATTTCTCAAGTTTCAGTGACTTTACTCTGTAATGTAAATATTATTTTAACATTGGTGCCTTCTAAGCCTTTTCCTTTCTCTTCTTAAAAGTAAAAGCTCAGCTTACCACAGGCACCTCTGGTAGCAGTCTCCCACCACCGGCGGAGTTTGAAACTTGAACCTTTCAGTTTTGCCCACTGGAAGCATAGCGGTGACTTTCTGAGTCCCAGGCTTTCCTTGAGAGCTGAGGGTGTCCTGGGCTGTCGGGGCCATTCAGACAAGGGGTTCTAGCCCCAAATTCTCTTTGTCGTCCCCTCTGGAAAGTAAAGTCGTCTTGTCCCATGTGGTGTCCCAGAAGTATAGGTGGGACATTGTAATCCTTTCGCTCTCTCAGTAGGTAGGATTGGGCTGTGTGGAGGCACCTGATTTGGTTTCACATCCTTTCCACATGCAGTAGTTGTTCTGGCAGCACTAAAAATCTTTCCACGTGCAGACTTTCCTGCTGCAGCTTTGGCAATGTAGTGGACTTGGCTCAGGAGAACACAAAAGTTGCTGTTTTGACAGGCTGCCAAAACTTCAAGCAACGTAGCCAGAGGAGGGAAGTTTGGAAGCAACACCTGAGAATCTTAAATGAGAGTTTTCTTCATGCTGATTCTTGAATGGTCTGCTGCAAACATAGAAAGAGGGGGAACACTGGTTAACCATTTCAACAGGAACAGTGACAGAGAATTTGAACTTCACCATGTTCAGACCTAAACTCACTCTTGTATACTGTATTATCTTTCTCCATTAACAGTTTACATTTGCATTTATTCAATAATGTTAATGTGACAGATGTTGTGGAAAAGGACATTCTTTGCGTTTGGAATTGCTTGACATCAAGTAGCTAATTCTTATGATAATTTATTTAAATTTCATGAATTATCAGCATTAGTTTAAGAATATGGCAGGAAGTCCACAGAAAGATTAGAATGGTCATTTTTATGGTTTCCGCTTCCTTTTTGACATAAACCTGCTAGTTCTTGCATGTATTATGTTTTGCAATGATTGTCTTTGCACCTTTAACACGGTGACTCTTTCTGACACTAGAGATTTTTGTCTAATGCACTCAGCATCTTTCGTTATACTAAATTCTACCACCTCCATTTCTCTTCTCTTATTCCAGCATATTGAAGAGCACTAGTGAGTCACCCATTCATGTTGTTGAAGAACATATGCACTATCTTTTGAAATACAATGTTACGTCTCTTTTTCTAAGCAATAGAATCTGCAGTCCTTGGAAGACACTGGAGTTTTCAGAAAAGATTTAGATTTGTTTTGCCAAGACTTAGCTTTTGTCTTAAATGGTTGGGAAGGCATATAAAGAACAAAATGTGTTTTGAGTTATTGTTGTTTTGAACTGGGTCCTTCCTTTGTGGATCCAAATAAAGAACTTTGATAAAAGCAGCAGCAAGGACTGAGCGAAAATAATGTGTTTATTTTAAATTTTAGCATTATTTTGATGATGGATAGGTGAAACAATCTAGGTTTAGTCTTCAATCATTAATATTTAATGTTATATGGGAGTTCAGTAATTTGCATGGCCTGGTGGATCTCATATTGATGAAGATTTAAGTTGTTTATTTTATATGACTTTTTACTGATTTAAGATGTAATGGACTGTTCTGTGCACATATCTAAATGTTGTTAAACATACATAATTGAAAAAAGTTATAAAATATGTCTTTTGGTAAAATTAAACATTAGAAGGGTAATAGTAGATCAAATACAAATTTTATTACCCTAGTAATAAATATGGGACCATTAATTATTGATTAGATTATTTTTTTCTGTATCTTAAAGAGTGTGCCTTGTGGTTACTGTTCGTAAGTTTGAATAGAATTGTGATAGATCATTTGTTGTGCGAGATATTATTCCTGGCTGGAAGGTACAATTCTAAGATTAGCAGTGTCTACAGTATCCATTGTGCAGAAAAACTAAGTAGTTCTTAATCATCCTGGGACCTTATCTGAAATACATGGAATCAGTGGGAGTCTTTTCACAGCAAGATCTGCATCAGATCCTAAACTCTTAGATCATTAATAAGCTGCACATACGGAGTTAAAAACCTTCAAGCAAATGTTTCTAGTAACATATTTGTGTGTCCTTCTTGTGCCAAAAGCTTGTGGAGAGAAAACAAAGCAAGAAAACTCTACAATGAGAAGAACTGGGTTTCATATATTTGAATATTTGATAGGATGGCGCATCAAGCATTGCGCTGCTACACTTCCTCTGTTTCTCTGACTGTTGAAGGGTGGGTGGGGTTTTTTCCCTTTCTGATTTTTAGGCTGCCCTTTCCCTTTGCTTACTGTCGATTTAATTAAGATCCACTTTGGCTTGGCTTAAATCAGTACACTCTTAACTGATTTGTGCTACAGCCACAATTGATGCTACTAGTACCTAGAAAGGTAGGTATGGAATTTGTGATACTGATACAAAGAGGAGGTAATTTGTATAAACGTTTTGTTTTAT